ATATATATATATATATATATATATATATGTGACCACAGATAATATTCTGGTCTAACCTGTGTGTTGCGTCCGCTTCGGTCAGTCCGTAAAGATTGTGCAGGTTGTAGTGAGTGGACAGCTTCTGCTGGGCTGACATGCAGATCGTTCCTGTGTTCAACTGACCTCCAACTACTCCTGTTAGTGTGACATCAGAAGAAGCTGTAAATTAATGCACTTATATTGAAAAAGTCCAATTAGTAATGCTTTTTTAAACGTCTGTCATTTTCACCCAACACACTTACTGGGAGTGTATGGTGGTCTCTCGAGCTCACTGTCTGGACAGCCGTCCACTGATCCCTGAATGAAACTGGAGGGTTCATTCATGTCCTGATGGGAGCATTTATAAGATGTTTTATGCAATATTTGAAGGTGAAACAGAAAAACACACAATCTAAAAGCCTGTACTTTAGATTTCACTCATAGTTTAGCTAAATAATCAGTTATCTGTGAGTATTTGTGTAAACTCACAATCCACAAACCATCAACAGGAACTTCAGAATAAAAGTCTCTGATGCAGTCCTCCCACCACTGTCTGGTTTCTGGGTTGGTGAAGTCGGGAAATGCTGTTGGGCCAGGCCAAACCTGAGGAAACACCACAGTCATGGGCTTAGGAGCAACCACATCCAGTTTAATCCAGTTAAACACACAGAGTCACCCCTGACATAAAGTGGTCTAACCTTCCCAATTAGAACCTGCCCGGTGGCGTTTTTAATAAAGACGTCTTGTTTCAGTCCATCTTCAAAAGGAGGATAAGTCCCAAAGGGGCTGGTGCTGCTGATACCGGGGTCCTAAAAGCAACAAACCACAGAAGTCAGACTAATGTGTGTGTTTGCTGCCATCTACTGGACAAGGATGGTTAATGACGGGGTTTATTTTACAGATCATCTAAAGAATAGAAACAAAGAAGCTCTGGTGTTTTGTTTTTTTATTTTGCTTTAGAAAAACGATATGTCCCACCAGAATTAGGATGTACTTCATGCCTCCTTCATGAAACTCCTGCACCATCTCTGGCAGATCTCCGAATCGCACACGGTCAAAGGTGAACACCCTGCGCTTATCGGCATAGTCCAGGTCGTTCCACTGAACATCCTGGGAATGGAAAAAAAGCTGTCAGTAACAAGGATCAGGACTGATGAAACCAAATGACTCAGTCATTACGGCACAATTATGTTTGTTCAAAGATGAAAATGAAATCAATCTGATAGCTTTATCATTTGCACAGATAAAGCTATCAGATTTGCACAGATTATAGATTAGATTTTTAAAGGAAATCAGTCGTTAATGTTACATTGTTTTTATTTAAAAAAAAAGATATTCGTAAATAATCAAATGCATTAAAAAGGAGTACACAAGTGCAAATTATCACTGGTGGTTCACCATTGGAAAGTTGGCACTGTGCATGTGTTGTGCGACCATTCGGGTTGCATTAGTGGTTGTATAACCCCAGCGACACAGATGAAAGCCCAGGGACCAATAAGGAGGCATCATAGGATATCCTGGAAGAGAAAAATGACATGATAAAATAATAGTTTTCAGCTTGCGCTGATATACTTTTTCATGTATTATCCACTTAAAGAGTGTTTGCCTCTTGCTGTTACAACTTGGAGAAGTGTTACTGACTATCTACAATACAGGGAAACACCTGCCGATGATCTGGAGGTACTGCTGTATCACACTTTGAGGGTCAGGACCAAGAAAAATATACAGATCCAGGATTCCACCAATGGATACCCAGGTGAGAGCTGGAGTCGGCTGCAGCATCACTTCTACAAGAACATTAGAAACACTTAAATAGATACAGTCGCACAGGGATCAACCTCTACATCAGCTCCCCGGCTCTAAAAAGAAATATCTGCATGTGAAACGTCAAATAAAATAATTTACAGTTAATTTAGGTAACAGATTTTTTAAAACTTCATTCTTAAAAGAAAAAGGAGGGTTTTGCTAAAAAAGTAAGAAAATATAGCTGCAGAAATTTGTGTCTAAAGTTGTAACCCAACAAAATAAGCTATAACTGTAAATGTTAGCAAAAAACGTAACACTGTGCTTTCACATCTTCCTAAAAAGTGAACATAAAAACACTCTGAAGTACCAATTGCATTGCTGTTAAGAAGGAAAACTCCGTGTGCTAGGCTGTCATCTTCCTGCACGATATAAAATGGATGGGAGCCATAGAGGTTTGCGTCAGCCTGCAGAGGAACCCAGAGTTAGTTAGCATGTTTTAGCTTCATTAGCGTGTCCTTGCGGGTCACTGGAACCACTCACATGAGGTGCCATGTCCCTGTTCCAAAGAGACAGAGAGGTCCAGTTGAGGTCCAGGATGAGAGGGGTGTAATGTTCTCCAAGGCCAGACACAAAGGAGGAGGCCAGTGAGGTGGACAGCTGCAGGTACTGATCAGCAAACAGCAGAGGGGCCACCGTGGTGTTCATTCTTGACACAGACAGCAAAAACATACTCTGAATCACGTCTTCAGATCCGAATCACAGTGATGGTAAACATGAAAGGGTTCATAATAACAGACGGAATATCTTACATGATTGTTCCGCTGGATTTACGACTCACTATGAAACCAAATGGATCAGACTGATATTCTGTGGTGTAAAGAACATCCTGGCTGCTCGCTTTTGTGTGACGAATGCCATCAAGAAGAGGAACTTCATACCGCTGAGTGGAAGGGTCCTTTAACTGAAAAGAAAAACTGGGTCAATCCAAACAAAATTCACATCCGGATAGGTCTGAGACAGCTGTGTTAAATATTTTCAACACACTGGCCAGGATGTGCAAAAAAGTACACATGGGCCACAAAACAGATAAATATGAGACATAAAATGGCCTCAATTGTTTACTATAAACTGTTGTTATCAGAAACAAAAACAGGATATTGGTTAGTTAATCAGCATAAAATCTAGTCAAGTTAATGTAGACAGTCGTTTTATGAGTGGTGCTCATAGTTTCATTAAGTCATGGGGGTTTGAGGTTCTATCTACCATGACACAGATCACAAATTTGTCACATCTTTAAATAATCTTTTATTATTATTCCAGGTTTTAAGGGCAACTGGGTACTCACAGTGATGTGCAGGCAGCCTGCAGTCTCCTCTGTGACTTCAAGGCTCAAGTTGAAGATGTCTTTGGGGAGATATGATGGTGTGACTCGAGTCAAGCTGGCAGTCTGACCTCTTTTGGTGGGAGTGATGGGACTCATTTTATAACCCGGATACAGAGAGGGGTAGAAACACCAGGGTGGTCCTGATGATCCAGGTAGAGGAGAGTAGCAGCATCCTCTCTCTTCACACTCGTCCTGACTCAGAACCCTGTCCCTGCCACAGTCAAAGCGGCTCTCTGAAGCCATGCTGCATTCACTTCTTCCAGAAACTCCATTACTTTGATGGCTTCCCGGGCGGCTCTTTAAAAAGTTTTGTGGTTTTGTTGGATAATATTTGAGCCATTTATCAGCTGCTATGATAATCCTGCTGGGTGTGCGAGGAACTGATCTAACCAGTCTGCCTTTATAGATTAACAAAAGGTTGCTATGCCAACATGGTAAAAGAAGCAAGGCAAGGACGACAACAATAACGCTTAAACTAGGCAGACCTGCCATACTGCGAAAAGCATCAACCCATTTCTTAAGGTAGACGTACTAGCTAGCAGCGGAAGCTAGCCACAAAGTTCATAGTTCTGTCGGAGGCTATTTTGTTAAACTAAAGTGAAGTTACAAACATGACAGCATAGCAGAAAAACAAGGTTACATAAAATAATGACCAGTGCTTAAAACTAAAACAAATAAGTATAAAAGTCATACTAGCTAAAACATGTAAATTTATCAAGGCTAAAAACATTACGGCAAACAAACTGGGACAAAAAGGTTCTAAACTACTTTGGAGGCAGCACTAAGACGTTTTTTGAACCTAGTTTCTAGATTCAATCAAGTTTGCACAAACATGTCAAAAATGCACAGAAACAGAAATATTGCGTTTGTAAAGACCCAATTATACAGTTAATTAGCACAAATAATTATTCTGGGGTTTAGTTACTCAATTGAGTTGCCATATACCAGCTAACTGTTACCGGAACGTGTCCTTTCAAAATAAGACAGACTGAAATTAAAGAGCAAGTCACCCGTAACGGAGTCTTACTCCACTCCCACTTCACGTTTGAAAAATGCAACAAATGCTCTTGCCTGGCAGACCAAGAGGGTGGGGCCGCTATCAAACACTCACAAACAGGCTCACAACGACGTTGTGACGTCATAATGTACCAGCTAACGTCATAGTGTACAACGATGGCAGATTTAAATTGAAATGCAGTGCAGAGTTTATGCCTGACGACGACGCAACACTGACAGTTTTAGGCTGAATGTTAAAATTTGAACTAAGATGCTCTAAAGTGCCAGATTATTGACTACACATGTCTACAGCACTATAAGACACTCATTTATTTAGTTTGTTAGCAAAAAAAAATATTTGGAGGTGACTTGCTCTTTAAGCTCTGGCACCAACAACAGCTTTCCTCATTTGAATGCGGTGAAACGACCAGCTGCACCTCTCCACTGTGAACTTGTTTCCAGCTTCACAGACGACCATGTAAGCAACGTTACTTACGAAGCTAACAGGCCAGGCGAAGCCATCCGAGATCTGCAGCATCGAGGCTGCAAGGCAGCAGTGTCCAGGGAACAATATCACCATGGCAACATCTTTTGTACATTCTTGGAACCATGGCAACATTTCCGGCTACAGAGACGACCACGTTTCTTTTAATTATATAGATACGTTCGTTGCAGTCATGTGATCCTAAAGTTAACTCTGTAAACAGTTTAGCACTCATATTACACACCGAGCAAAAAACATCTCGTAAGTAATATAAATCAAATATTACCGTGTTTGACAAGTGTGACCAGAGTACAAGCTGTTAAACTATATAGTCACATCAATAAAGTATTTCATTTTACATATTGACTATGTTAGCAGCTGTAAGGTAGTTTAAAGCTATTTTAGCATATTCATAAAGAGGGCAGCATGTTATTTATATGGGTCCATCCCAGACAAAAGCTGATATATAATTATACTTATGAATAATGCTGATTTCAAGGGCAACATCAGTGGACTGAAACCCTGCAAATGAGGATTAAATACAAAAAATGTTAAGATGTAAATCCAATTAGAACTCAGTTTTAAAAGTTTAAACTCAACATTTATTAATTATTTAGCCATCAAGAACAAAGCTGAAGCTGCTGCTACCGCTGTGGGCCAGCGGTGTTGCTAATTCACCTCCTCCGCAGCCACAGACAAAAAAAGGTGACATAACTTGCCTCGTCCAATCACATTCACATAGCGTCAGGAAGCCTAGCTGCTATTCTGCCACTGAGCAGGTTTGTTCTCCGGGATGTGTTACCATGGTGACTGGGAGGAGTTTCAGGCTAGCCACATTCGTAGAACCGATTTAGGGGAGGTTACACCGGGAACCTCAAAAGAAAACCTGGTTTTGGGAAAATCTCGCTTTCTGGAATACCCCCAGCTGCTCCCTAATAATTAGGGCTAGGTGGTTTTCATGCAGTGAGTCCTCATTCAGCTTCTGATTCTCATTGCTACCAGCTGGGAGCTTCATTGTGGAGCCAGGTGCATCAAAACAGCTCCTTTCACACAGGAGGGGTAAAAACAGGGGCGTGAGAAAGGACACTACAAATGGCATCAGCCATAACAGGAGTTATATGTTTATTTATTTGGCAGACACTTTTATCCAAAGCAACGTACAATTTTTAACTTGTAGGGCATGTTGTGATCTGTAGGGGAAACCGGAGTACCCGGAGAAATCCCACGCATGCATGGGGAGAACATGCAACTCCACGCAGAAAGGCCACAGCCGATTTTTGAACCTGCAACCTTCTTGCTGCAAGTCAACAGTGCTAACAACTGCGCCACCATGCAGCCCATACACTCTGCAGAAAGGATGAATGACCTACTGTGATTCCGAAGGGTCTCAGGCTCCTCAGGAGGTGGCTTTGGCCCTTCTTAAAGGGAGCATCTGTGTTGTGAGACCAGTTCAGTTTACTGTTGAGGTGAACACCTCCAATGTCTGCTCCCTGGATGTTTACTGGTGAGTGAGGAGGAATGTTTCTCTGGAAGTCGATCACCATTTCCTTTGTCCTACTGGTGTTCAAGTGAAGGTGGTTAGGCTCACACCAGTCCACAAAGTCCATGATTACTGACCTGTACTCCAGATCATTCCCCTCACACACAGCCGACAATGACTGAGTCATCTAAGAACCTCTAGAGGTGATAGCTGCTGGTGTAGGTGACGTCTGAGGTGTAGAAGGTGAAAAGAAAGGGTGAGAGCACCGTACCCTGCACAGCGCCAGTACTGCATAAAACCACCTCAGACGTACTGTTGGTGAGGTAGTTGACTATCCATGCAGTCAGATGTTCGTCCACTCCTGCCCCCCTCATCTTCAGTTGCAGAAGACCCGGCTGTATTGTGTTGAAGGCACTTGAGAAGCCAAAGAACATAAAAGTCTTAAGATAAGTTTAATGGTCTGTCAAGGGGACACATAGTATATGTAATAGGTGCATATTGACAAGAATGTTACAGTATCCAAGGATATCAATCAAGACAGCCTGATCCTTTAAGAATGACATCACTCACCTATTTAGGCAAATATTTTATTAAGGTTTGCTACATGTCTATATGTAGCTTATTATCTTCTCTAAGTTTTGCACTTATTTGTTCAGTTGAATAACTTTAAAGAATTCAGTATACCAAATCTGTAACTGTTGGTGGTTTTTCTTAGCCTGGCCTGCCAGACTTGTCCTCTGTTTAATTCTGCACAGAGAAAGAGTCTGGTAACTCACAGACAGAGAGGCACTTGAGGGGCGGGACTAGCCAGCTCAAAAATGATCAATCACAAAAAAGACGGAAATGCTGACTGTACCGCTGTAGCTTCTTTTAGCTGTAGTGAACAAAAGGCGTCTGGCAACGGCGCAAAAATCTTTTATTTTTTAGAAGAAAGGCTAGGGCTTCTACTTTTTGTGGTTTTAAAATTATTCAGAACAGAGGAAAGAGGCGCAGCGTACTCCGCCGCTGTCTTCGTTGTTTATAAGAAACTGAGCATCGCTGTGTGTGACGTCCGTGATGCTGTAGTTTTTTAGCTGTGGTCAAAAATGGCATCTGGCGACAGCGCAAACTTTTTTTAGAAGAAAGGCTTTTAGCGCTTCTACTTGTGGTTTTAAAGACATGTCCGAGTCATTTTGACCAAAGGAAAGATCCGCAGTGAAGTCCGCTTCAGTCGCCATGTTTGACAAACTCGGCATTATGGTGTGCGACCATCGTACGCTACTCAGCGCTGATTGGCTCGGTTAGAACTCTCACGGGGTGGGGTTATTTGAATAGGAGAGTTCCCAGACCCTTTCTCTGTGCAGAATTAAACAGAGGACAAGTCTGGCAGGCCAGGCTAGGGTTTTCTCTGATCAACTCTACAATATACAGGTGATGGTCATAAAATTAAAATATCTTGACAAAGTTGATTTATTACAGTAATTCCATTCATAAAGTGAAACTTGTAATGTAAGGGTTTATTGATGTTGGTGTAGGACCTAAATTGCAGTAATCCTTTTTTTTTTTTTTACCGTGTCCTGTCTGGCTGTGAAGCAAGCAGAATTGATGTCTGAATGCTGGTGACAAGCCTTACAGATTTATTCTCAGGTGGAGCATCAAAGCGTTTGCTTTTAATGTCACGCCGGATACTTAAAACTTTATTGTTATTGTTGTTGAATGCTTTGTAATTCCGACCAGACACGGAGACAGAGGTGAAAGAGAAAGGAAAAGAAAAGGTGGGGAGAGGAGGGGGGGGGGGGGGGGGTTCCACAAAAATAAACAATAATGAACAAGAGTCTGCTTCTAGACCTGCAGAAAAAGACAACAAAAAAAAACAAAAGGACACAAAAAAGGGACACAACAACAATACAACAAGATCTACCTATCACTGCGTCAACTTGATGAAAAAAAAAATATATATATATAATCAACATTGCTTAACTGAAGAATCACGATAATAAATCACAATGCATTAAGTGCCCACCATAGTCTTAAGACCTGTGTTTAACGTGCCCAAGCCCATACTTTTGAGAGCACCATGTGAGCACCTGTGTGTGTACACGCGCTTGTTTATGTAAGGTTTCTCTATAGGAGCGTCCAACAGAGAGTGTGAGGGACCACAGATCCACCCCCCAAAGATGCGCAGGAGACGGGGGGAGCTCCAAGTCCCAGAGATCCAGGCGTTGCCCCAGAACGCAGGAACCCCAAGGAGACTGCAACCAGGAAGGCCCCCGCCCCCCTCGAGAGGCACAGAGGATCGCCCCGGGGGGCCACAACCAGCAGCCGGCAGAGTCCCTGGAGATATCAGCGGCAAGCCCACAGGCCCGCCCGCAGCCTCCCACCCCCTAGCCGGCCGAGCCCGGGACCCAGCGACCCGGGACCCAGGGGCGACCACCCCCGCCGGGGACCCAGCAGAGCCCAGGGACCCAGACCCCACCAGGCAGCCACCGGGATCTATCAGGCAGATGCCAAAATCTTAAACCCGCAGACCCGGTTGCCACGAACACTCAGGCAGACCAAGGCACAAGCCCCCACACAGGGTGTGGCAGGGGGAGAGGGGACAAAGATCTATATCATCAAGAGAAGTTCCAGGAGAGGGGAGGACCCAAAGGCCCCACCTGACATATACAGTCATACACAAACACAGTCACACGCTCCCTCCCTCATGCTCACACATGCACATACAACCCAAGACTTACAAAAATGCACGCCGGACACCCACTCATGCTCCCCATACACACCCTATTCACTCTGGTCCCCGTACTGCTGCACATTGGGTACAACCATCACCGGTAACCAGAGTTTGACCCTTTCTGCTGGGGGTGCTGATGAGCAGGCTCCCCCGCCCAACGCTGAGCACAGCAACCCACCACCCCAGACCCCAACCAGATGGCCAGATCTCCCTCCTAGCCTCCAGCCCCAGGAAGCCTAGCAACAACAGAGGTGGCTAAGACCCCTAGTCTCCCTCCGCCTGCTCCAATATAGTGTTGTGTGATCATGAGGTGTATTCCATGGCTGTGGTGAGTGGGCAGTGCGGGCATCATCCGGCATATGCCAGCTGATGCCACCGCACCACCCCACTTACACCCTCAGCCATCAGTGTCTAAGTGCGGTTTAAAATTGGAAGTGGGCACCGGCACTCGGGAGGAGGCTGAAATATCCCCCTGCCAAATGCTGTTGAATGTGCTCACTCCCAAGGCCCTAAGTGTGTGTTTGTGTGGAATGTCGTCAGTGGAAATGTATAAGGTGCAAAATAAATTGCAGTAATCCAAGAGCAGCCGGGTAAGGTGGTAATTCAATCTATACAGGTGCTGGTCACAAACTTAAATATCATGAAAAAAGGAGCGTTTTACAAGAACCACGCTAAAGCAACCTACTGTACTTTGTACCGGAAGGTTTAGCGGATTTTAGGACGCAGAATCGCTGCGTCGGAACGGTTTGACAGCTTATCGGGACGCGTTCCCGAGTCTAAACCGGGGTGGCTAGTTAGCTCGGCGGCTAAGCTAGCGAGTATCTGGAGCGACCAGAACAAAATTGCCCGATTAACCAAACGTGCCTTAGCGACGAGGTAATTTAGGGACTTTAGCGTCCGCACTCTGGGGTGCAGATGCGCTCTTCGGTGTCTAACGTCGACTTATAGCGAATAATATTAGCAAGTTAAGCTAACTATTATGCTTGCGAGGTTACCGGTAATGGACCGACGCGGATCAGACGTCGTCCGAACGGAAGTAACTTCCGACGGGGATAAATCTATCTCCAATTTCACAAATATGTGCACACAGTGTCACAAACACAGCGACAAATAATAAAACAGACAGTTTTCAACGTACCAAGACAGGAAAAATATACCTTCATATGTAGGCCTCAAAATGGCCGCTAGCCACGTCAGCTTTAAGGTGTTTTGATGAAACAGCGCCTCCCGTGGAGGGTGATGAATGTGCAACCCCCCCTTCAAGATAAAAGCTCTGCCTCACCAGCTGAATGAGAAAAGCTCACTTTTTTCTTTTTTCTGAACTCACACTGAACAAAATCCCAAATATGTTTCAAAATCGGCACAAAGTGTAATAAACTGTGCAGATATCAGGCTAGGCTCGCCAAATGTAGTGATCTGTAGTTTGTATATTTATACACTGTAATTAGATCTAAATATTATAATCAGAAGTGGTTGTTTTTATCATCAGGGAGTTTACTTAAACACTCTGTATTGACTGAGAGACAAGAAAAGAGAGAGTTGGGATCATTTAAGAATCTTTAATTTCTATAATTATAAATTCTTACAATCTACCAGGAATAACTCAATGATGAATGCATATGGATCTGAATGTTATCGTGTTGGTGTGTGTGTGGGTTCAGGATCTCTAGGCTGACGTAGCAAATCTGGTTGTTATGACTAGGCTACCACGAGGCTTCAGAAGCTGATGACATGAGCCGCCATTTTGCCGCAACTACGTACCATGTGGAGCCTCCCGTGTAGATCAGGAAATGCCAGGTCCTCGGACCTTCAGATGTGCTGGAGCTGGTGAAACAGCGGTCGCAGCACTACAAAGCCCGTCTGTGGGTCGACTCCCGGTATCAGCGGCAGGCGGCAGCGAGTTAGATCTTATTTTGAAGGAACGTCGTCTTGTTGTTCAAACGACGGAAATCTCCAGCTTGACAGTTCTCAGCTTAAAGTAGGAAAGTGCAGCTGGCCAGCCTGCAACTTTCTTAATGATGACGATGGAAATCCTTAGGACCTCCAATTGAACAGAGCTGAGGTTAAAATGGAACTGAGTTTAAAATGGCGTTGCCTTGTTTTATATCTCCTAGTTGTTTACAAATCTTAGTAAACCGGATTGGACAACTTCATTAAACAACCCAGATTCTGCTCTACGACAGACGAAAGTTCTGATTGGTTGAAAACAATGTGCCATGCGTTTCCATGTCAATGCAGAGCAGTCTGTCTGGTGCAGTCCTGTTTATTCATTAAACACATAACTCATGACATCTTTATTTCACAGATCATTCACCTGATTATTAATGATCAACATATGCTCTGATTAGCTTTATCACGAATAAAGTACTTTGATTAATTAATGGAAAGCGTTCTTCTTCTCTTCTTCTGTCTCTTCTCCTGGAATGTAAACATAATGAAACCAGCATCCAACCTTGGCGATTCCTAAACGTTGTTACTGTGTGAAGGGGCAGCTGTTAAGGGCAGACAATAGGATCTTAATAACGCTAAAGTGGGATGCAAAAGATTGGGCAGCATAGTTAATCTTCATGATTTTCCTGTATACATCGTTAGTTGTCCATCCATCCATCCATTTTCATCCTCTTATCTGCAGTCGGGTCGGGGGCAGTAGCCTAAGTTGAGAGGCCCAGACTTCCCTCTCCCCAGCCACTTGGGCCAGCTCCTCCGGGGAAATCCCAAGGCGTTCCCTGGCCAGATGAGAGACATAGTCCCTCCAACGTGTCCTGGGTCTACCTTTAGGTCTCCTCCCAGTTGGACGTGCTCGGAAAACCTCACCAGGGAGGCATCCTGACCAAATGCCCGAGCCACCTCAACTGGCTAGTCTCGATGTGGAAGAGCAGCGGGTCTACTCCGAGCCCCTCTTGGATGACCCAGCTTCTCACCCTATCTCTAAGGGAGAGCCCAGCCACTCTGCGGAGAAAACTCATTTTGGCCGCTTGTATCTGCGATCTTGTTCTTTTGGTCACTACCCAAAGCTCATGACTATAGGTGAGGGTAGGAACATAGGTCGACCGGTAAATCGAGAGCTTCGCCTTCTGACTCAGCTCTCTATTCACCACGACAGACCAGTACAATGCCCGCATCACTGCAGATGCAGCACCAATTCGCCTATCGATCTTAACCTCCAGTTTTCCCTCACTTGTGAACAAGACCCCGAGATACTTCAACTCCTCCACTTGGGGCAGGACCTCATCCCTGACACGGAGAAGGCATTCTACCATTTTCCAACTCAAGACCAAGGTTTCAGCTGATTCTCATCCCAGCTGCTTCACACAAGGCTGCAAACCACTCCAGCAAAAGCTGAAGATCACGTTCTGATGAAGCCAACAGGACCACATCATCTGCAAAAAGCAGGGACCTGATCCTCAGGCCACCAAAACGGATGCCCTCAACACCTTGGCTGCGCCTAGAAATCCTGTCCATAAAGGTTATGAACAGAATCTGTGACAAAGGGCAGCCTTGGTGGAGTCCAACTCTCACTGGGAACGAGCCCGACTTACTGCCAGTGATGCGGACCAAGCTCTGACACCAGTCATACAGGGACCTAACAGCCCGTATCAGACCGAGGGACGCGGTCAAACGCCTTCTCCAAATCCAAAAAACACATGTAGATTGGTTGGGCAAATTCCCACGCACCCTCCAGGATCCCCCTAAGGGTATAGAGCTGGTCCAGTGTTCCACGGCCAGGACGAAAACCACATTGCTCCTCCTGAATCTGAGATTCAGCAATCTGACAGACCCTCCTCTCCAGAACCCCTGAATAGACCTTATCAAGAAGGCTTGGGAGTGTGATCCCCCTGTAGTTGGAACACACCCTGCGGTCCCCCTTTTTAAATAAGGGTACCACCAACCCGGTCTGCCAGTCCAGTAGGACTGCCCCCGATGTCCACGCAATATTGCAGTGCCGCGTCAGCTAACACAGCCCCACAACAACCAGAGCCTTAAGGAACTCTGGGCAGATCTCATCCATCCACAGAGGAGCTTTTTAACCACCTCAGTGACCTCAGCACCAGAGATTTGAGAGCCCAACTCAAAGTACCCAGACTCTGCTTACTCACTGGAAGACATGTCGGTGGGATTGAGGAGGTCTTCGAAGTATTCTGCCCACTGATCCACAACGTCCTGAGTAGAGGTGAGCAGCACACCGTCCCCACTATAAATAGTGTTGGTAGCGCACTGCAACCCTCCTGGTGCCAAGAGCACATATGGACACTTTTTTTGTTTGAACATGGTGTTTATTATGGATAATCCATGACTTGCACAGAAGTCCAATAACAAAACACCACTCAAATTCAGATCAAGAGGGACGTTCTTCCCAACCACACCTCTCCAGGTCTCACTGTCGTTGCCCACGTGAGCGTTAAAGTGCCCCAGCAGAACGAGGGAGTCACCGGAAGGAGCGCTCTCCAGCGTCCCCTCCAAGGTCTCTAAAAAGGGTGGCTAGTCTGAACTGTAGTTTGGTGCATAAGTACAGACCACAGTCAGAACCCATCCCCCCACACATAGGTGGAGGGAGGCTACCCTCTCATCCAACCATCGTTGGTTGTTACAAAAACAATTACTCTGTTAAGTCATTTAGGAGACACACACACACAGTGATATTTGAGACGTGAAATAAAGTTTATAAGATCTACAGAAAGTATGCAGTAATTGTTGCAACAAAAGTAGGCAGGTGCCTAACTTTGGGCACTGTTGTCATTTTATTGATTTCAAAACCTTTAGAACTATGTATTAGAACTCAAAAATGGTTTGGTAAGCTCAGTGACTTCACCAGGGGTGGACTGGCCAATCTGGCATTCTGACAATGACCCGGTGGGCCGCTTGCCAACTATTTTGTCCATGTCTGTATTTACTAAGAACAAGACAATTATATTTGAATAAAAGTTTTATTGGATTTAGTTGGATGTCTTACATAATAATGAACAGCAAAAAACTTGCATTTCTTTATTTAAAGCTCATTATTTTCAGAAAATTTCAGAATTTCTAAAAATACACAAGAAAATTTGTAAAAGACAAGTAAAGAATATGAATATACTAATGTACTTTTTATTCAACATTGTTAATACACTCAATATTAGTAAACTGAAGTATAATACATTTGCATTTTTTAATAACAAAGAATAACAAATCTACTTGTTATGTATTCCAAGTCAAAATGTTTGTGACATTTACATGCTTATATACCACAATTTGTGAATCAACATTTCCATATTGTATAGAACATTTGTATTATTGTACCCATCAACATAAGAGGAAAAGAAACATCCGAATGCAACATGGGAACTGAAGCAGAAAAAAAAAACAAGGGTCCCCCCCAGTTCCTTGTTTCAGTTAAATTGGGCCATTTTCCTAAATGAAAAGTTAAAATACATAGGTTTTTGTTCCAGGTACTGATGCCCATTGATTTATGTAGGTCTCACCTTCTTGTGTGTTTCTTTTGAATTTAGTAATAAAAAGTAGGGATGTCCAGTTACGATATTGATATCGGCCCAAAACACTGTATCGGATGATTTCAAACTACATCATAAATGTCCAATATTAGCAGTACGTTTCGCTTTAAATTCCATTCCAGCAATTCTATCCACCAGTGCCCAGATCCAGCATGCAAAGTCCACATGATCAGAACAATGTGTGCTAGCAAAGTAGCAAGGAACAATGTCGGCCATGTGGCTGCATTTTTCGTTAAAGTCTGAAAAAGACAGTTAGGCTCAGTGCAACACTCACTGTGCACAAGTTTCCTGTGATGGAACAGAACCAGGGAAGATTAATACGTCCAACCTCATTGTGCATTTGAAGCAGGATCACAAATCATTGCATGTGGATTTTTGCAGTGTGCGAAATTGAAACTTTAGACACTCAACTCGTAGCAGTTGGTCACTGAACAATAGTGCATTTTTCCTTCTGCCCCTAACCTCAGCTGTTCATGTTTATGCAACCAAAGGTTAATAAAAAAAAGTAGTTTTTTATACTTACTGATGTTTGCTTTTGTTTTCTATTTGAATAATATCACGTGATCAAGCCTTTTATACATTTATATGAAATAGGTAAAAGTCTGTGATTTGTGCTAATGTCATATCGGAATGATATTGGACAATACTGAAGACTGCAATATTGGTATCATATTTGAAGTGAAAAAAGTTGTATCGGGACATCCGTAGTAAAAAATAATTTCATGGTTTAAAACGGCATGATTCTGTGCAGAGGTGTGGGTTCCATAAACAAGATTTGGGGCTACAGTTTTCAACAACAAGGAGAAATGTTGCATCCCTACTTTTTGTAGTCCATGATTTTACCCATGTTACTTGAATCTATGTTTAACAGTATTAATAAAGTTCATTATGCCTCGGTAAAAATTACCACTTTCACACAGCACATAACTGAAATTGTTTGTGCAATGTCTCCAACACACGAAAGCTAATGAAGAAGACTTCAAGGAAGAAGCCAAAACTGTAAGGTAAAAAAAAAAGATATCTTTTTGTTGGTCCAATATACATCTTTGCCTGTTTAAGAGGAAATTCCTGTATTATCCATGTTTTACATGCCTTGCAAGTTTATAAACAGTCGTTTCTAAAGAAACTATTTTTTTACAAGAATGTTGCAAGCAACAGGACCTCTAAAGGTGAATCCTAGGTAGAAGGTGATGTTCTCATTACTATGGGGTACTGAAGGCACAAAAAGAGGTCGGATATTAAACTTCTTTTTCTGAGGGCCTTCAAGGTACACCACTCTATCCTCAGTCCATCCAGAAACACGTTTCAGCATTGTGGCAATCTCAGTCATTTTCCATGCCTCACCGCTAAACCACTTCAACCGTTTTTCAGAAACTGAAAATCCCTTTGTGATTTTGTCAAACTTTCTCTTGTGAACATATTTATCCAACCCAATCCCGTTCCCAAGGAAAAAATGGGTGTAAATCCTCCTCCTCCGCTGAGGAATGTCTTTCATCTTGGTCCAGTAGTCTTTTTCAAGGTGCTCAACTGCAGATTGTACAGTTTCATATTTGCTTTCTTTTTCCTGTTCCGTGTCATGATCTTCTGGCCAGAAAAGCAAGGTAAGCAAGAACAGGGCACTTGGTAAACATTTCTTTTTATCAGATGGGAGTTGGCGGCATAGAGTCTGCAGATTTAGCAGAGAATCAACTTTTTTTTTTTGTGGGGACAAGCAGTTCAATGAAATGTGTGCAGCTATGTAATTGACAATGTCCCTTTGGGTAAATTTGGCTTTTAATGGGTTGCTGGGGTAGAGAGTGAGGATACTTTCCAGGCGACGCACTCCATCCTTTTGGTCAGCAAGCTTGGAGAGAATGGAAATTATGTTCCCTCCACCAAGATGATAAATGATCATGCGTTTTTGGAATGGAGTGAGGTTGGTTGAGACTGACTGACCTTGTTTCAGAAACGCAGCAGAATCTGCTTCACTAAAGTACTTTCCATATTCAGAAGATTTTTTTGCCAACCACATGAGTGGATGGCTTATTTTTTCTTCCTGACTTTCAGGGATTTCTTCTTCATCTCCAATGTCTGTCTGGAAGTAACTGAGGTCCTCTGAAATCCATTCCAAGGCATCCTGCATTGTTTTGTGAATTTTCTTCAAGCGGCCATGAAATGGTTCCCAGGAACTTTCAAGTTCTTCGGGAATGTAATCTGTGAGCAGGTACTTCATGCATTCAGAGTGGCCATTGGTTCTATCTGCAAACACCTGCAGTGAGGAGATCAGTTTAAGCAAGCTGCATCCAATTTCAACTTCTGAAAAGAAGCCTGAACTGTTAACATCTTCCATTTCTTTATCAGCGGCCCTCTCACATTCTTGAAAACACTCGAGGGCTTTCAAGGCAATTTCAACGGCATTTGCTGTATTTTCGGCCGTCTTTGGTATGTTGTCATTTTCTATTGCTTTGCATTTTGCCTGGAACCATTTTCTATACACCTGCCCTTTTGTATCAAGTATGTAGGAATTGTTGGGCAATTGTCTAGCAGCTGTCTCTGCCCAGTGCCTTGCTTCTTCAAACTTCTCATAGGTGTAAAGAAGACGAGCAAGTTGTTGGGCAAAGAATGGATCTTGATGGAAACAATCGAATGCTTCCTTGAGTAACTCAATTGCTCTGTTGGGGCTTTTCTCATTTTCACACACATACTCAATGAGGGGAGAGAAGAAACTATCATACTCATCTCCTTTACTTATTCTGGACCGCCTTAGGAAGAGTTGTCTCAGAAATGCCAAATACTCGTCCCTTCCAAATCTGTGCTCAAAAAGAACACTTTCGCGGAGCAATTTCATTGCCAATTGGCTTTGAGTCTGTTTGCCACACAGAAGCTGTTGAAGAATCTCTTTTGCAACAAGTGGGTGGATGATTCTGATTGATTCAATGTGTGTCTTGTCATCTCTAAGGTGCAAAAAAACTAATTTAGCCTGATCGCTGAGTGACCTCTCAAACTCATGCTGGCGAAACCGTTCCAAGTGAATAGTTAAAGCAAGCAGAGCTTCACAATGGGACTGAGAGATGAAAGAGTTTTGAACATATGTGTTCAACAAAGCAACATAGTGAATGAGGCGAGTGACAACAGCATCCCCGTCAATACCTTGAAGCAAATGTGTCACAAAGTGTTGTATGTAGTCTTCAGAGAATCCTTCACTCATCAATACAAAGGTCAAGATGAATTGAGGGGCATATCGTTCCTCAAGAGCTTGGCGTTTTTTTGCAAACTTTCTTGTCTCTTCAGCAGACAGTTTGTGAGTAACAGATACGTTCTGTAAAGGAGACTCTTTACATTTCCTCTCTGGATCATGGGAATGTCTGCAGCTCAACAAAATGAAGCAAAGGGTTCCAGACTGGATTCGTTTGTTGTTTATGGCATCCTCCAGTTCATGCCTGAGATCATCTAGATATTCCTTTTCTGTGTCTTCAATTAGGAGCAGCACAGGAAGGCACATCTGAGGATCTTTTTCTTCATACTCTCTTAGTTCCACTGCATGCTGTGCTACAACAGACACAGGGTAGGAAGGCTTGATGACCGCACATCTCAGGTCCTTCCTGTTGTTCCACAGCACTTGTCTGGCCACAGTGCTTCCACCACTTCCTGGGTGATGGTAGATGTTTATACAGTTCACCGGTGTCTGATCAAAATTATACTTCAAAGCATCATTGAGAAGTTTGGATGTTTCATGATAAGAATCTCTTTCAATTACTTCATCAACATATTTGTTCTCAGCAAGCCAGAAATTCAACCAAGTCACTCTGCCACCACGGTAAAATTGGCGTTCAATGTTTGTTTTCTCCTCATTGATGAAGTCTTTGCTTGTTTCATTACAATGGTCTACAGTTAGAATTTCCAGGGAATGCATTTGTTCTTCTATTTGTGTTTCAAGCAGGCAGGTCCCTTTCACAAAGACTGGCAAATGTTTGTGAGCACATGCGTTGACAGGTTGTACATGCTGTAGAGTTGCATTGACATGACTCATTTTCATTCCAACAACACTTGAATTGTTAACGGTTTCCTTTCCGCATGAACCCTCTGCAAAGCTTTGCCACTTCTGGTAGTTTTTCTCAGATTCACAAATGCAGATGATGTCCTCATGACCTTCCATGTCTGTGAAAAACTCATAAAAGGTATGCAGGAGTGGTTTCTCTACAGGTGATGTTAGAAGAAAAATTACCTGAAAAGTCCCTTTAGGTAAGATTTGTTTGCAGATCAGAGAAACAGATTCTCGTAGGAAAGTCATCTTTGTCTTGATCCAGGTCATTTCATCACATGGAGTTTCATTCCCTATGAAGTCTGTGCGTCCATTGCAAAAGATCCAACTAGTCTGCTCAAACAGATGGAGTTGGCTTGTGAATTCTTTGATACTTGAACCAGCAGGCTTCCTGTAGCTTTGGAGAAAATGCATGTTTGCTGCATGATGCTGAAGGTAGGTTTTGCAAAGGCCCGATGTCTTTGACTCTGGGTCAAAGTCAAATACACAGAAAACGTTCATGTTGAGCAGCCAGTCAATGTTACAAACGTCATCTGATTTGAACTTATTTGTAACCAGTATGAACCATTTTTCTTTTTCGATGAATTTCTTTCCACTAGTAAGTAGCATTGTGAGCTTTCTTCCCAGGTCTTGGCAGGACTCTGGAGCACTAAAGAACTGATTTTTCTCTGCTTCTTGTCTTTGAGCATCTCTATCTCTGACCCTCTGGTAGAAATCACTCAAGTCTTTGTCACTCACTGGTTCTGTTTTAGAGCCCACTCTTCGTAGAATTGTTTCTTTCTCAAATTCTACTTTGTTGGAAGACTCTTTGAAATTTGGCAGCCGAACTGCATACACCTTATTCTTCACAATGTTTAGTGAAGGCACAATGTCAACCTCTACCACAAACCTCTTTTCTGTACTTTCTCGATCCATAACTTCAATAAACCTTGGTGGTCGCACACACTGACGTACATGTTCTTTGTCAGAGGAGAAGCTTCTTTCAATGTAGTCCAAAGCATCTACATAAATGTCCTTTTCTTCTGCATGAATCCCGATTATCTCACCATGTACATATCCTGCATCTTCCTTACTGTCCATCACACCAAAGTGGATAGTGCCGTTTGACCTGATATTCATACAGCCTGTTGCAAATTTCAGAACTTCCCTTGCAAACTTTGCTCGAAGTCTTGTTGGATCCAATGCAGCAGCAATAGAAAAAGACTTGTATTCATGGCAAGGAGATATCAGATTGAAAGCACCCGATTCAGGCTGGAGGACTCTGTGTTTTAGATAAATGAATTCAATGCCTTCTTCATCAAATGGTCGTGGTTTGCAGTCCTCTTTTGAAGAAGATGAGGGCTGTTCCAGCGTAGGTCTTTCCTCAGACACATCCCTCTCTCTAACAGGGGCCTGAGGAGCTACACCCACTGCAGCAAGACTTTGAGTTGATCTCTGAATGTTCTTCTGCTCTGATTCAGAATTTTTGTCACCAGTTGGCTTTTTGTTCCCTTGATTATTCTGCAGGGGGTTTAGAAGAGCATCCCTTTTTTGAATAATTAAATGGGCAGGCCCTGACTTCATGCAAATCTCAGTTTTTAAAAAGTCAACAGTTAGTGTAAGGAGCGTTTGTCCGTCAACTTCTTCTTCATACAGCTTTTTGATGTATTGCTCCTTCACTCCAATTGATTGTAGCCAGGAACTTACTTCAGACTCAGTCCAGTTCTCAGGTGACTGCCCAAGTTTGTCAGCTGAAAAAAGACAAAGTACAAAATATAGTTTTGTTATAAAACAAATCAGAAAAAGTACTTCTCATTGCAATGTATAAACAATGGTGTTTGTAGCTCAAATAAAAAAACATCTACTATTAAAGTTCAAAATTATCTAATCCATGCATCACTATAAAATATATATACATACAGTCTGTACAGAAACTATTTAGACCCAATCACCCTCAATTTTTCACTCTGAGATTTATGAAGAGTTATTAAAAGAGAAAAACTGGAATATCACATGGTCTTAAGTATTCAACCCCTTTGCTCAGTATTTAGTAGAAGTACCCTTTTGAGCTAATACAGCCATGAGTCTTCTTGGTAAAGATGCAACAAGTGTCTTACACCTGGATTTGGGGATCCTCTGCCACTCCTCCTTGCAAATCTTCTCCAGTTCTCTCAGATTGGATGGTGAACATTGGTGGACAGCCATTTTTAGATCTCTCCAGAGATGCTCAATTGGGTTTAAGTCAGGGCTCTGGTTGGGCAATTCAAGAAGAGCCACAGAGTTGCCATGAAGACACTCCTTTGTTATTTTAGCTGTGTGTTTAGGGTCATTGTCATGTTGGAAGGTAAACCTTCGGCCCAGTCTGAGGTCCTGATCACTCTGGGGAAGTTTACTGTCCAGGATATCCCTGTACTTGGCTGCATTCATTGTTCCCTCGATTTAAACCAATGGTCCTGTCCCTGCAGCTGAAAAACACATCGGCAGCATGATGCTGCCACCGCCATGCTTTACTGTAGGGACTGTATTAAGCAAGTGATGAGCAGTGCCTGGTTTTCTCTACACATACTGCTTAGAATTAAGGCCAAAAGGTTCTATCTAGTCTCATTAGACCAGAGAATCTAATTTCTCATCATCTCTGGGTCCTTCAGAACAAGGGCGGATTGAGGAATGAAGAAGATCCAGGGCTTAACACACACACCTGTGCGTGCACACACACACGTGACACGCACTAGTCAACATCATATATATATTTGTCTTGTACCACATAATTTTTAATCTGAAGCTAAATATTAAGCATTTTCAGGGCAGAGTATTGTTCCTGTTAGCGTTTAGTGTGAGATGATAGTAAATATTCCCTTTCTTTCTCCAACAACTTTACCTGATAGTAAGCTAACTTTAGGCAAACCAGCAGCACAACAAATATTTTCAAATAAAACTCACAAACCTGAGTCAACACCAGTCTCATCAAAGCTGGGGTTCTGTCACGGTACTTTTGGTCTAAAAAACATCCTTATGTCCATCTTCACACATGCGTTTCAGGCAGAGTGTAGAAGAAACCAGGCACTGCAGAAGAAGCCGGGTGCTGAAGGGCTTCTTCTTCAGTGGTGGAGGCTCAGGCAGGCTGTATACTAACTACTGCTAGCTGCTCTCTCTCTGTTAGACTTTGGTACTGCATGTTACTTCCACGTTTGAGATCCGGGGCTTTTCATTAACGATTCGGGGCTTGAGCCCAAGTAGCCAGGCCTAACGCCACCCCTGCTTCAGATGTCTTTTATCAAACTCCATATGGGCTTTCACGTGTCTTGCACTGAGGAGAGGCTTCCGACAGGCCACTCTGTCATAAAGCCCAGACCGGTGGATAGCTGCAGTGACGGTTGACTTTCTATGGTTTTCTTACACACCTTCTCAGTGGCCTAGTGGTAGAGTGTCGGGTCATACCTTGGTCTGGTAATACCAAAAACTTGAAAAATGAGACCCAATGCATCTCTGCGTGACACTCAGCTTTAAAGGGGTTGGATTAGGAGGTTAAACCACCAACGAGCATGGCCATAGCTGCAGCTCACCACTCCCCACGGGGATGAGTCAAATGCAGAGATGAATTTTACCAGCATGTGATGACTAACAGGACTTCAACCTTGATTTCAACTTTCTCCCATCTCCTGACTGCATCTCTGGAGCTCAGCCCCAGTGATCTTTGGGTTCTTCTTTACCTCTCTCACCAAGGCTCTTCTACCCTGGTAGTTCAGTTTGACATGCATTGTGAGATGCAATAACAAACAAAGAGTGAATGATTGGCAGGGGTCTGAATACTTTCCGTATTCCCCGTATATAAACATATAAACACAAAAATATACACTGCTGCCTCCTCTGAGCTGGTGCTTCTCCCCCAGCTCCTCGACCTCTGCAGCCATGCATTATTATATAAAAAAGCATATAAGTGATTAGATATCTATAACGTGTTTGCGTATGGACATAAGGGGCAGATTTTTTACTTTTTTATCCTGTCATGAGACTTTGTCTGCCTCGATGTGGGTGGTTTATCCACTAGAATTGGCCGTTAACCATTGCCTTCAGCATATTTTATCAGCTGGAAACCTGTAAAATGTTATGTTACTGTCCTACTTTCGTCTACTTGTGCAGCCGACAGATCTACATGAGTTAACCATGCTGACAGATTTTTTTTAGCCACTTTGTAGCTCTGTTTATTGACAACTGACAGATAAACACAACAGTGGTCAGAGAGGAGGTGCCGGCTTCTTGCCCTTCAACCAGAAGCTGGAGGGCTGGGGCAAGGGCACGTGACGTCATGTGTAAAGGGGTCTATACAGTGGGGCAAAAAGTATTTAGTCAGCCACCGATTGTGCAAGTTCTCACACTTAAAATGATGACAGAGGTCAGTAATTTACATCATAGGTACACTTCAACTGCGAGAGACAGAATGTGAAAAAAAAATCCATGAATTCACATGGTAGGATTTTTAAAGAATTTATTTGTAAATCAGGGTGGAAAATAAGTATTTGGTCACTTCAAACAAGGAAAATCTCTGGCTCTCACAGACCTGTAACGTCTTCTTTAAGAAGCTTTTCTGTCCTCCACTCGTTACCTGTATTAATGGCACCTGTTTGAACACATTATCTGTATAAAAGACACCTGTCCACAGCCTCAAACAGTCAGACTCCAAACTCCACTATGGCCAAGACCAAAGAGCTTTCGAAGGACACCAGGAAAAGAATTGTAGACCTGCACCAGACTGGGAAGAGTGAATCTACAATAGGCAAGCAGCTTGGTGTGAAAAAATCAACTATGGGAGCAATTATCAGAAAATGGAAGACATACAAGACCACTGATAATCTCCCTGGATCTGGGGCTCCACGCAAGATCTCATCCCATGGGGTCAAAATGATCATGAGAACGGTGAGCAAGAATCCCAGAACCACACGGGGGGACCTGGTGAATGACCTGCAGAGAGCTGGGACCACTGTAACAAAGGTCACCATCAGTAACACACTACAACGGCAGGGAATGGAATCCTGCAGTGCCAGACGTGTTCCGCTGCTGAAGCCAGTGCATGTCCAGGCCCGTCTGAAGTTTGCCAGAGAGCACATGGATGATACAGCAGAGGATTGGGAGAATGTTATGTGGTCAGATGAAACCAAAGTAGAACTTTTTGGTATAAACTCAACTCGTCGTGTTTGGAGGAAGAAGAATACTGAGTTGCATCCCAAGAACACCATACCTACTGTGAAGCATGGGGGTGGGAACATCATGCTTTGGAGCTGTTTTTCTGCTAAGGGGACAGGACGACTGATCTGTGTTAAGGACAGAATGAATGGGGCCATGTATCGTGAGATTCTGAGCCAAAACCTCCTTCCATCAGTGAGAGCTTTGAAGATGAAACGTGGCTGGGTCTTCCAACACGACAATGATCCCAAACACACCGCCCGGGCAACAAAGGAGTGGCTCCGTAAGAAGCATTTGAAAGTCCTGGAGTGACCTAGCCAGTCTCCAGACCTCAAGCCCATAGAAAATCTGTGGAGGGAGTTGAAAGTCCGCGTTGCTCGGCGACAGCCCCAAAACATCACTGCTCTCGAGAAGATCTGCATGGAGGAATGGGCCAAAATACCAGCTACTGTGTGTGCAAACCTGGTAAAGACCTATAGTAATCGTTTGACCTCTGTTATTGCCAACCACAGTTATGTTACAAAGTACTGAGTTGAATTTTTGTTATTGACCAAATACTTATTTTCCACCCTGATTTACCAATAAATTCTTTAAAAATCCTGCCATGTGAATTCATGGATTTTTTTCTCACATTCTGTCTCTCACAGTTGAAGTGTACCTATGATCAATCGGTGGCTGACTAAATACTTTTTTGCCCCACTGTATAAATAAACATACACATATAGTACAAACTGTATTAAGCATGATATTGCAATGTAACAAGAGGACAACTCTCAGCTACCTATTACATGAAACTAGCTTAACATTGGTATAACTGACCAAGTTGAAGCCATTTTTATTGTTTCCTACAATCAGTTGTAGACTCACCCATGTTTATCCAATTTTGTCACTTTGTCCACGTTGGCATTAAAAGGTCATTACTTTCTATATGCAAAAGAAAAAAAAACATTAGCAGTTGAACTGAGACAATTTTCACCTTTAGAGTATTTTTCAGTGTATGTTGCATGTTTATTTGTTTAGTTAAGGATCCCCATTAGTCTTCACAATAGTGAAAACTATTCTTCCTGTGGTCCACTTGATAAAAGAAACAAAAACAAAAAGAAAACACATACAATATCACATAGACTGTGTGGGATTAAAAGTACAATATTCTATATACAATGTAAGAAAAACACAAGAAACTCCTATTATCAACCTCATAAAACAAAATCATAAAAAAGCACTAAAAAGTCAATTTAAAAATGGATCAATGAATCAATAAAACAATAACAATAACAAAGTGTTAAAGTCAGGGTGTTAATTCTATAAATCTAATTGAAGTCTATAAATCTAAAATCTATTAATCTAATTGAAATAGCTGTAACTGTTGTCTGATATAAGCTTATGTTTTACAAATTTCTTGAGATTCATTTTAAACACATCATGAACATTTATTATTAGTTCAGGAGGCAGGATATTCCAGCAAGATAAAATGAGAGGCATTCCTTGTGTTAAAACCGTGCCGCTCACAGGTTGGTAACAACTTTGTAAACAAGCTAAAAGGTTTATGTAAAACCCAGATTTTGTGTGACGACACAACCAGGCTGCAGGCTAGTCTGTCAATTACACTCATCCATGACAGATTAAAATGCATCCAGTGGATATTAGTTTTAAAAATGCAACCAAGAGCAAACCTCACAGCTCTGTTCTGAGCTCTCTGAAGTTTGTCAAGGTCTGTCTTAGCTGCACTGGCCCAAACAACTGAACAGTAATCCAGATGACACAAAACCAGAGACTGTACAACAAGTTTTCTGGTCTCCATAAATGCTCCTACTCATTCTCTTTACAATATTATCAATATGTGTAGTCCATGACATTGATTGATCCAATGTTATGCCCAGTAGTTTGGTCTCTTTTGCTTGTTCAGTTTGTTGTCCCCGTAAATAGATGTCTAACTGGTGGTTTTTTCTTACCAAATTCCTCGAGCCTAATAGCATACACTTGGTTTCTAATACATTCAATTTGAGCTTACTTCCCTCTACCCACTCAGAGAGGGTATTACTCACCCGTAATCACCTGTAATTATTCTCCATTTTGTCACTTCATCCACCTTGGCATTGACATGTCACCGCTTTCTATCTACAAAAACAAAACGACAAAAAAATGTGCAGAAGAATTCAGACAATATTAACCTTAAATGAGACATATCATGAAACATACACGTTTTTAGACTTTAAATACAATGTGTTGTGCATTTTAAAGAGCAAGTCACCCCCAAATCTACTTTTTTTTCTGATAAACTATATAAATGTGTGTCTTATCATGCTGCAGAAACGTGTAGTCAATAGTTTAGCACTTTAGTGGATTTTAGTTAACATTTTAATTTTCTGCCTAAAACTGTCAGTGTTCTGCCATTGTCAGGTAAAAGCTCTGCACTGCATTTGAATTTAAATCTGCCATCGCTATTGGCTAAGAGGTACCATAGAACATTAGCTGGTACCATATGATGTCACAATGTTGTTGTGAGCCTGTGTGTGTGTGTGTGTGTGTGTGTGTGTGTGTGTGTGTGTGTGTGTGTGTGTGTGTGTGTGTGTGTGTGTGTGTGTGTGTTTGTTAGCGGCTCCACCCTCTCGGTCTACTAGGCAACAGCATTTGTTGCATTTTTCAAACAGGAAGTGGGAGTTGAGTAAGAATCTGGTAGGGGGTGACTTGCTCTTTAAGTCTTCAGGTGTGCAAAAAGAAACCAACTAGTCATTTCAAGTGATAATTATAAGTTCTAGAATAAAGTGTTGGTCTTATATTTTAACCTGTTCAGTTTTCCCAATTTTCTATTACATGTTGCTCTGTTTCATCAGGGCAACTGCTAAATATGGTGATGGACTTCCAGCTATACACAGTGCAAATTTGCCAGTTTGCCTTCTCTGTAATCCATTTAGAAAAATGCTGAATGTCAAGTCATTTCATCCACATGCCTCTCTGAACTGTCCCTCACTTACGTGTGTCTCACTCTTAATGCATGAGAGAGTTGGCAGCCCTGAGACACAGCTGGGTGGACAAATCTCCCCACTTGTTTTAAAAAATGCAAATATGATGTTTCTGCTATGCTAAATAACAATTTCTCTCTATAGAGCTCCAGGAGTTGACGTCACTTCTCCCGGCATGCAACAGTTCAAATCGAAACGGCGCCATCTTGGCAGGCAGAAGCCCGCAGCTGGGCTATTAGTTACTGACAGAAAACTCAATCAAACGAGAAATATGGTAGATTCCTGTTGTGCCCCAGGATGCCAGAACAGAAGCGGACGACATAAGGAATGAGCCATCTACAGGATTCCCCAAGATCCGGAACGTCGCAAACGTTGGATCATTGCAATAAAACTCGCTAGTGACCGGGCTAAAATGAAGCTCTGGGATCCCGAGATTAAAGGTTTTCGCTTATGCAGCGACCACTTCATATCAGGTACTTAAACCAACGTTTCCTCAACTGTGTATGGTGTTTATTTTAAATGCTTTTATTACGATTCTTAGTGGGCTTCCTAAACTTATTTTGGTGTGGCTTTTTCTGTCTTATTACTCATAGCAACAAGTAAACATCACGTGAAACGTTGCCTCGTGAGTTCTGCGTGCTGCCGTTTACGTGTTTTATGATCACAGCAATTAACCGGCTAAGCTGCATTTAATTTTTAAGCAATGGTTGATCAATTGTCAGATCACACATAAAAAGCACTTTGGATTGGTATTATCTGTCTCACCGAGACAGATCTGACAGATCCTGAGACGCTCCTGCCTGACATATTTATTTTATTCATGGAAAAAAAATCAGACTAGTGATTTCTCTTGGCGCTCAGTTTATACATTCAAACAGCACATCACTCTATTTAAAGGAGACATAACATGAAAAACTCACTTTTTTATCCATTAACACGGTGTGTTTCACATTTTAAGTGTCTAAGTGAGCAAAAAGGCTTATATTATTCACTGGAGTTGCTATTTAGATATTTAATAATTAAGTTTTGGGCATATTTGTCCACCCGTTCAGTTTTTCAAATTATCTATTACATCAGTAATTTATTTCGTCAGGATAACTACCAAATATGGTAATGGTCCTCGGCTAAACACAGAGCCAATCCGCCATTTTTTCTTCTCGCTAAGATTTTTTGTAGTCCTATTGGAAAAATGCAGAATGTCTGGTTATTTTAGCCACACACAGCTCAAAACTGTTCCTCGTTTTAAGGAAGGGTGGTGTGGCAGTATTTAAACCCAGGAGCTGATGACACTACTGCTAAAAAAACAGAAGAAAAAGTAGTGTGTGTTTGTTTGTGTGTGTGTGTGTGTGTGTGCGTGCGTGCGCGCGCGCGCGTGCGTGCGTGCGTGCGTGGTTCGTTCGGTGTCTCCAGGCTACTGACCAAGTACCGAGGGCTTCATCTATCTAAAAGGAGTTTTTTCCATCTGAATGTGGCAGCGACGGGACACACCAGCAGAGCGGTAAGCTTCATATCACTCTAAAATGTCGACAAACTTTACTTTAGATTTACGGGCATTAGCAGCACTAAAGCGTTAGCATCCGGCTTGCTATCGCTAGCACAGTATGCTAGTAAAGCTAGCACCCAGATTAATGTGGATTTGGCTGATTTTCGTGGAATAAAACGTGATTTCTGATCAACGCCTTCTTTTACACCAGATGATAACCTCCCACTGATTGTAACAGCAGAGAGTCTGTGTGTTATTCTACGTGAGTGTGATGTAATCTTAGCATCCAGTAAATAAAGTCCCATATCAGCTAAAATGCAGCGTGACAAAGTCATTAAAGTGCGTCAACACAGTGGATTTAAATAGAGTTTTAAAGAACGATCTCTGAGTGAAGTGAGGTTAGTTTTTTGTCTCACTGCAGATATAAAAACTAACTGCATCAGTCAGACGCAGCAAAGCTCACCGTCTGTATGAGCGTGAGCGTCGGAAAGCTGATAAAATCAGCTGTAAAATAATTAAAACAAAAGTAAAAATGTTCCTTTGCTTTTTAGTGTCTACATCCAGAAGACTGGAGCCGTGTTTCACTGACAGGCTGTCAGACTAACGCCCTGATGAGCTCAGCTGGGACAAACTGGTCTGATGTTTAGGTAAGTGAAGATCTGCTTCTCCAAGGCCTTGAGATGCTAGTAAAAAATAATTTAGCCAGCTTGCTAATGTTACTTTTCTTCTCCTCTAAGGAACACAGAACGCTCAGATGTTGGCGCTTCACGTGACCTACTGAGGAAGGAGACCCACCAGTAAAGAGACGGTCTGGACACGACCAAAGTGAGTGATGACACACCTCAGCCACCCTCATCATTAAGAACACCTCACCCCCTGAATCACTCCGTCTGATGACAGCAGAATGATTTATTTGATGTTTTACTTGTTTAGTCTGTTTAGAAATGATTGAATTACATTATTTTCTGTAATCGACCATCTGATCTGGACGTGTACAGAATAACTTTCCCCAAATTCAGCAGCAGCTGGCCTACAAAAACAGCTGCAGCATGTAGTAAGTCTGTCTGCTGCACTGCTCTCTAATGAGCTTCCTTTCATGAGGAGTCATTTGTATAATTTTAGTGTCACTATTTTATTACATTTGTAAGAAAATATGAAGTCACTGCAGCAAAGTGAACTTGTGAACAAACACAAACGTGACTATAAACATGAAAGTTAAAGAAACGACTTTCCTAAAGCTGCTTGTAAACAAAATATGTCATTAAAGTTATTGTCTATCATTGCAGAATATGGCGATGACATCATGGAACTGGTCTTTGGAAAAGTTTTCCCTGAACCAACTCCATTTCTAGATGAGGTAGAGAAGATTTGCATCTCACCAACCCTCTGGTCTCAGTATTCAGACAACGGAGGTCTCCCACTGTTATCCAGGACCAGTTTGAAGCCCACATACTGTCCCTCCCTCATCATCAGGAAACATCAATCCGTATCCTGAGGACAACAGAAGACGGCAGGAGGACAGGAACTCTGAGACCTAGATACCACCAGCACCGGGACACAAAGCACCTGTGTGCACAACGCCTGTTTAACTACTAAAGCCTGTTTATTATATTGTTCCACTTATTTGCTGTGAGGTTAATACTTAGAAAATGTGTATATTAATGTAAACAATAAAAAAATCACTGATTGTATGTTTTCTTTTAGATGTAATGGTCCAAACTCAGCCTTGTAGACATTTATTGCATCCTGTAGGTAAATACACAGAACAGGCTCAGATCCAGGATGACCCAGCATGCTCTTCTTCCATTCTGGCTGTTAGGGATTGTATCAATAACTCAATGCCTACTGATGTTTCCACCTAACAGTATTTATTTAGAATGCAGGTAAGATTTAACTATATTTGTTAGCAAAGCAGACTGATCTTGGGAATTTCACTGCAGCACTGATGTCCACCTCTCTGTACACATTAGAGAGAATTACCACTTTACAGCTAAACACATATTTAATAAAGATATAGGCTACGCATTGCAGACAATAGAAACAAAGTTGTAAGCATTAGAATTATAATGATCACATTAAAGAACATTTGGAGGAATGTTCTTTATTTTTGACTAGAATCTCAAATCTTTAAATTAAAATGTAACTGCTTTTTATCCATTTATAGCCATTAAGACACCCAATATTAAATAAGACTACTTATAAAATTATTTATAATTATATGTATGTATATATATATATAGATAGAGATCTTAATAAAATATATTCTTTTAATGGTGTTTTAATGAGCTGTATCATTATTTAAAACATTTTTTATAGAAATAAATAAGCAAGCAGCATTCCTTGCGTGTGTGCATGTACAGTCTATGGCCGTGACGGATGTGTGTGTGTGTGTGCGCGCGCGCACGCACGTGCCTGCTCGCTTGTCCCTCCGTCGGCCATGTGTGAGTGACTACAGACAAATGCATGAGAGAGTTAGCAGCCTTGAAACAGCCTGATGAACAACTCTACCCACATGTTTTAAAAATGCTAATATAATGTTTCTGCTATGCTAAATAATGATTTCCCTATAGAACTACAAAGTCTGACTGGGGGAGGAGAGTACAGGTCTGCACTGTTGGGGGGGGGGGGGGGGGAGTTTACAGCTCCTCCTCCAGTTTAAAGAGACAGTACCC